ACCTGCACCGCTGCCCGCCGCCCGCGCCGCCGCCGCCGCCCGCCGCCCACGCCGCCGCCGCACACCGCCGCCTCGCGAGCCGCCGCCCCACCGCCCAAGCCCTCGCCGGAGCGCCTCGCCGGAGGTAGCCGCCGGATCCAACCGCCGGTTTTTCTTAAAAACCATTCGGTTTTATTTTTTCAAAACCCTAGTTTTCATTTTTTTTTAAATAGATCAGTTTTTTTTCCGATTTATTTATTTAGCGAGCGTTCGCTCGTACGTTCGTTTTAACGAACACGTTCTTCGTTTAGATCCAGATAACGAACGTTCGTTCGTTAATCTGTTCGTCATTTTTCTTTTTCTCGGATTTATTCCGCGATTTTTCTGATCGCAATTTCTGATCCGATCTTAAATTCTGTTGATCTTTTCGCTCGTTTATCGGAATCAGGCGATTCAAGCGCCTGGAGTTTCATCTCGAAACCCTCTTTCCGGTTAATTAACTCAAACAAGTTTTTGCTACTGTAAAATTTGACCTAAGTTCAGATTAGTCAACGAAGTGGTTTTCTTTCGCCGTTTGACTTTCGTTGCTTCGTTTGTTTGGATTCTATTTGCGTACTAGAGTTCTTAAGTTGAACTTTCTGGTCAACCTCTCTTATTTGAGTTTTGCTTGTGCATTGTTGCTTGTTACTTATGTATGTTATTGTTTGCTTGCGATAGAATTCCCGGAGTGCGAAGCGTGTTACTATGAGTCTCTAGGATTCGCGGATCGTCAGCAAGGCAAGTAACACTTTGATCATATCCCTTTATTACACAGTTTTTATGCATTTGTTCCAATCCTCAAACATTGCATGATTAGGATGTCATTAACTTGTGGGTTGGGAAGTAGTTGCTGAGGTAGAACCTATTGCCCTGTTATATTCAAACCCTTGGGAGTTACTTCTACGTATTGGTTATATTGCTATGCTATGCTCGTAGACGTGGTTTGGATTTGAGTGAAATTCATGACAGATGTGAGATTGTTAATTAATGGTTCAACTTAAGGTGGCAACTTAATCAAACAACAGGGTGGATTGAGGCACCTGGGGAACCAAGTGTTGTCAGTATTTTTTTGGAAATCCCGGGGTACCTGTGTGATCTTCCTATGGACCGCCACCCAGGCTCAAAGGGAACTGAGATGATTCATGCTAGAAACTTCCGTGTGCAGCCACAAGCTATTATGGGCTCTATCATAGTTGAAGAAGTTACGTGAAGCTCTTGAAGAGGTAGATCAACAGGTAGTGGGTTTGGTAGGTTTGGTATGGTCTACCCGGAGTAGAGAGTTAACGTTTCTGAAAGACTATGTCTCGGTCATCCGTTTCTCAAACACCATGTAGTGCGAGAAATCCAACGGAGGCGATCGAGTCTTGTGGGGAGAAGTGCGCAAACCTCTATAGAGTGTACAATCTAATCATGGTTAGCCGTGTCCCCGGTTATGGACAATTCTTGAGTATCTAGTACTTGGGTTATCACATGTATCTCACCATGTTTAATTAATACTGTTGGGTTGTTAATCACTTTAATTGGGATTGATTTGGGGGTACCTTCTCAATATGTTTCAACCACCATGATAGTTAAATTAAAATCTATTCCTTTGTTGTAGGGAAAAATTGGCTTTTCGCAAAAACTATAACCATACAGCTTTCCACCAGCCATATATGCATGTAGTGATAGCATTATTCTGTTTCTGCTGTACTGTGTTATATTGCCAGCATATTCCATGTGCTGACCCGTTTTCAGGTTGCAACGTATTATGTTGCAAACTTTTCAGACGAGGAGTAAGGTTCGTTAGGTCGTTGTCGTGCAGCTCAGCTATGCCATTGGAGTTGATGGACTCACTTTATCTTCCAAGCCTTCCGTTGTTATCGCATTAGATGGCCTTAAGCCATATTACTGTAATAAGTTTTCTTTTAGACTTTTCGATGTAATAAGTGTGTGATTGCTACTCTGTTATAAATCCTCGAGTACTGTGTGTGTCAGCATTACCGATCCAGGGATGGCACTGAAGCACAGAGACTTGACCATCTGAGGTCGGGTCGCTACAAGATGGCATCAGAGCACACGCTGAGTGTAGGACACGACCACTAAGATAAACCCTGGGTCACACTTCTCTACTCATTTCTGACTCCTCACCATTTTCTACTCTTTAGGATGGCAGAGATAAAGAACAAGTTTGCACAACCGGATGAAGATACACCTTTTGGACATCACCTGAAGGAAGTCACTAGGTAGTTGAACATTGCAATACCAAGCTTCACCGGGACGTACAACGCCACTTTACCAGGAGAAGAGCGCTGGATGATTCAAGTACAAGTTCCAGGAAGGACATTCTCGCCAACCTCTAAACCCATAGGATTTTCCTTCGACGCACCAATCTGGAGTTTAGGACAGAGTATGGCAGCTCACATCACCATGGGACGCATTGGAGAAGTGTATCACAGGGATCTACAAGACACTATCTACCAAATATGTAGGGGCGCCGAGACGAGCAATGGGAAGTAATCAGCACTAAGAAGGATAGATCCATTGCAGCTTTCATCCAGGAGTTAAACCCAGCACATTCGACGTCAGGAGAACCAGATGTGTGCGGACATGATGGACTTGAAGAAGGCGAAGACTAGGATCATCGAGCTAGAGGAAGAACTCAAGTTTACCTGCGATGGATATGAGGAGGAAATCAAGACCCTACTAGAGAAGAATGACGACCTAGTCAAGAAGATCGGAGTATTCATGGCAGGACCAGCACCGGGAGTAGAAGACGATGATTCCACTTGCCCGGACAACTACATCATCATCGACGACACCGACTCCGACCCTAGTGATGATGACTTTGAAGAAGAAGCTGGAGCAGACATCATGGAGTCTTCCACCGATCAAAAGTTCTAGATGACCACCAACTATTAGTAGTATTTCCCCCATGTATATAGTATTAGTGAGCACTTTTGTGATAAGTTCTAGACCGTTTGTATGCCCTTGCTTGATTGATTGAGTGAAATGATTGTGTTTGTCTCATGTGCATATGGGTAGTGCCTTCTCATTAGACCCCTTTTCTATTCTAATCTCTTCCATCTAAACCCATCAGATGCCTCCGAGACGTGACACCGTTTTTGCCTTCCCGCCGGAGCTCACCCAGTTGATCCAGCAGCAGAATGCCTTGATGCAATTGCTAGTTCAGAACCAGGGCAACAACAACAACAACAACAACAACAACAACAACAACAACAACAACAACAACAACAACAACAACAACAACAACAACAACAACAACAACCCACCGCCAGTGGACAACCTAGCCCATTTTCTATGGTTACAGCCGCCGGTGTTTTCCAGTAGCACCAAGGCTATAGTTGCTGATGATTGGCTACGCCGTATTGGAAGGGAGTTGACCATCACAGGTTGCACAGATGCTGAGAGGGTGCGCTTTGCCGCACATCAATTGGATGGACCAACAACCTCATGGTGGGAGAATTACACAGCCACTTTTTCTGTAGCCAATGTCACTTGGGACCAGTTTTAGCAAGCTTTCCTCACCGCCCATGTCTCAACTGGAGCTATGCAGTTGAAGAAGCGGGAGTTTCACAACCTACGCCAGGGGAACTGTACTGTGGCTCAGTACGTGGATAGGGATGGCAATGGGGACAATCCCCTATGGGGACCCATAGAACATCCCCGTACCCATCTATTCCCCATCACCCCATCCCCATCCCCGTTTGCATGACCGGGGATGAAATTTTCCCATACCCATGCCCCACTGGGGAGCGGGGCCCCATTAGGGTCCCCATCCCCATAAACAAATAATCATATATATAATATGATAAAATACCATCAACATTTATTAAAGTGAAATAACAAATAAAAATGCACTAATAATGGTACATGGGGACAAGATGTTGTATGCACCATGGTTGAACACATAACAAGCCATAATGGGCATGTTTCCAACACAAATATCATAGAAATATTGAATAGCGTGAGCACACGCTTGAAGAGAGTATCAATGCAAACACCACATTTAATAAGGACGAAATTTGTCTGACTCGCTTGACATAATTTATTGACTACAAAATTTGTCTGACTCGCTTGACATAATTTATTGACTCCAACATAAGGTTCCATGTGACCATAACTAACTTAAGGTAAACATGATCGTGCGCAAAAGTATTGCAGACGTAGCAAGCTAACAGCTACAGCCTTGGTATGTGTTCGGCATCATTGTTTGTTGAAGTTGAGCTGACTTGTAGGAAGTACAGAAGGAACCCCCTCTATAGTGTGATGCACTGCAGAAAACATACGACAACCATAAAAAAATGCTTGATGAATAGATAAAAATCTTTGAAGTATGAAAATGGTGCCATGTACAATCTTAGATTGACTCACCTCTAAACCTTCTTGTATATCATCAAGGCAACTCCAGAAACTAGCAGCCTCGGTCTTCTCATCATCTACATGTGACATGTCCAAAAAAATAGAAACATAAATTTAATCATAAAACTAGAAAATAGAAATGGTTAAAGGATCAAATGATAGAGAAATGTGCAAACCTTTAGCTTTGTTTCTCTCCCAGTTTTGTGAACACATTAAAGCCTCCTGCAAATCAGGGGTCAGACGACTGCGGTGCTCACTAAGTACTCTTCCACTTCTACTGAAAGCTGACTCGGAAGCTACTGTAGTTACTGGGATGGCAAATATATCATGCGCAATAGCCCTCAAAGTTGGGTAGCGTGAACCAGCAACATTCCACCATCCAACACATCAAAATTCTCTTGATTAGCTGGCACATACTTATCATCCAAGTAGCGGTCTAACTCTGTTCTGGATAAACTGGTTGCAGGCCTCTTTCTAGCTACTCGTGCACTGAAGATGGACATCACCTCGTTAGCTTCCATTGCAGAAATGGACACAGACTGGGCTTCTGTATTCTCTTGCTCACTCTCCATTTTATATTCAAGCATCAGGCTAGACACTAACTCACGGATCTCATGAACTTTACTCTCACAATCAATAATGGACTCGTCACCAAGGAGCATTTCAAAGCACAAATGCAGCATATCAATCTTAAACCGTGGATCAAGGAGTGTAGGAATACCCATGAGGCCTTGGATATCAGACCAGTACTTGTCAAATTTTGCACTCATAGCATCTGACATAGCTTCTATAATTTCATTCCCACACTTCGACCACTTATATTCATTTTAATTTCAAAAATCTTAGGAAAGTTAATATTAGCAGTCACATACTGAGTCCCAGAAAATATTTCAGTAATGGCAGCAAACAACTTAAGCCTATCACAGACTTCTCCACAAAATTTCCAATCATCATCACTAGGAGCACAAGTAAAGGTCTTTTCCCGCTGCCTCAAGCGATTAAATACACTCTTGTAGCATAAAGCAACACCGAGCATAAAGTACGTAGAGTTCCATCGTGTTTTCACATCAAGGGATAATTTTTTTACTTTGGTCTACTTTCAGCATCTTGGCAACCTCTTGAAAATTCTCTATTCTCTTAGGTGTGCTAGTCCAGAATGCAACACTATCACGGATTTTCTCAATCGATTCTTCTAACACATCCAAACCATCCTTGACTATCAGGTTAAGAACATGCGCACAACAACACATATGTAAAAGCTTGCCACCTAACATAAGCTTACTTGGACCTATCAGATTCTCTAATATGGGAATGCAAGCATCATTTGTTGTGGCATTATCAACAGTCAATGTAGATACCTTATCTTCCAAATACCATTCGACCAGTGCATCATGAAGTATCTCGGCAATTACAGGAGCTGTATGTGGTGCTGGAACATAAATAAATCTGCATATAAAAAATGCAAAAGCTTGTTATTAGAGACCATGTTATACAACGGTGGTGCAGTTTGCATAAAAAAATAACACAAAATATATGACCAAAAATACCTCATAATATAGCTCTGAAGCTTCCAGGATTCATCAACGAAATGTGCTATGATAGCCATGTAGCCTCTTTTCTGATGTTCAGACGTCCACATATCTGTAGTGATAGCCACCCTGCTTTTATTTTTCTCCATGTAGTTGATAGCCCTCTTCTTTTCGATTTTATAGCTATCTAAGATGTCACTCCTAATAGTATTTCATCTCACCATCTTAAATAATGGCTGGAGTGCAGAAACAAATTTTCTAAACCCAATGTGATCAACAATTGACAGAGGATAGTCATGGAGAAGAATCATGGAACCAAGAGCCTTTCTAGCAATATCCTGGTCAAAAGTATAGTTCTCTACAGCAACTTTCCCACCTTGTACATTCGAACTATACCTCAAAGAAGTTTGCTTCTTGGTGTCCGCAGGCCTCTTGCGATATGGACATATCTTTAAATGGTCAAGGAGATGCTTCGTTCCATTTCTTGGTTCCCCTCCAAGCTTCTTTGAGCACCAGTTACACTTGGCCTTCATCATGTTCTTCACTTTTACTTTCTTAAACTCCTTCCAAACAGGAGATGTCAACTTCCTCCTAGGACGAACGACTACTTCTTCTGCTTCATTTTCTTTCTCTTATGCTTCATCTTCTTCGCTGTCTTCCTCTATGACAACTGAATCTGTATTCATGGGCTCAGCCTGTGATACTGGTACCTCATCAGCTTCATGTTGAGGGGATGTCAGAGTAGGAGCGGTGACTAGGCTGCTGCTTCCAGCGGTGGAATCCAATGGATCAAGGATCTACAAGATGAAAGAAGTTTAAAACATATGATTTTGTTCATCAGTATAGTATAGTATTGCTACCCCATGTTGAAAATGCTACTTATCTCCCCCTACGTGGAAAGAATAAAGGGATATGCATTGATTTGCACACACTAAATTATTATCACGTTAAATGCAAGAATATATATGGTATTGAGTAATATATGTAGTTACCAATTACATAATGATCATGAAAAAAAAATGATACTACATTTATCATAGGCATGCGTACAAATCAATTCATGTAAATAGACTGTTATGGTAGTAAAGAAGTGTGAAAAATCATAATCAATCATTATGTGATTATGATTTCTGAAACTACTGACTAATTATTCAGTGCTAGCACGGCACAATTCAGAACTGACTCTCCCCCAAAAATTAGTGGATGATGATTGATGAACAGTACTAAAATCAATCTAAAAGTTTGCAAGCCAAGGATCGACGAAAAACAACTAAATCTTAAAAATTGTGGATGACGACCAATACTAAATCAATCTAAAATTTCAGCTTCATGATTGAATCTAAAAAGTTTGGACGCCGATCAGTACTACAAGATACTACATGTGAGACATACATAAAAAACAATCTTCACAAATTCCAATCTCCATCGTGTATGGGCCAATCTCCATCAGCAGAAGATGTCCACGCTGGAGCATGAGGGCCAATCAACTAGAAGGACAGCGGGCAGGGAGCACGGCTAGGCGTGGCTAAGGACGGCAGGGCACGGCGGCCGGCGAGGAAGGCACCTGCGCCATTGTCGGACTCTATGGCAGGGAGTAGCTCAGGGGGACGGCGCACCTGCTATCGGATTCTCCTATCTCCGCTGGCTGCCTCTGCTAGGTCGAAGCTGTCGGATTCTCCTATCCCCTCTTTTTTCTAGTCGCTTGAAGAGGATAAACACGAGAGAGAGAGAGAGCACCGTGGAGATGGATGGCTGTAGGAGACGAGGTGATGGTCGTCCGGCTGCTGGTGCCTGGGTCGTGGCTGATGAATTTGATGCATCAGCGTTACCTAGGAACCTTGAGCTACGACGTTGTGCTTCTCCTGTTGCTGTAGATCTAGGAGTAGGACGTGTTGACTTCTTTGTCATGGCGGTGGCTGAGGTGAGCACGATAAGATGAGAGCTAGGGTTATTAATTTTTTAGGGTTGACTTCATCCTGTATATATAGACATATATACAGTCCTACATGTCATATGTAAAATGCGGGTCCCCGTTGGGTAGCGGGTCTGGGGAGTAGCATACCATCCCCATCCCCATTGTACCCTATGGGGAATAAATAAGTTCGGTAAATATCCCCATGGGGAAGATTTTCACCCATCCCCTGCCCCTAATGGATGAAATCCCCATGGGTTTGGCGGGTATGGGGCCCCATTGCCGTCCCTATACGTGGATGAGTTTAGCAAGTTATCACGCTATGCCCCTGATGATGTGGCCACAGATGCCGTGAAGCAGGAGAAGTTTATGGAAGGGCTGAATGATGAGATGAGCATGAAGTTGATGGTAGCAGCCTTCAACAACTACTAGGAGTTGGTAGATAAGGCTCTTATGATTGAAGGGAAACATCAGCAGATTGAGATATGCAAGAGAAACTATGGACAAGGGAAGTATAACTCAGGAGCTCAGCAGAAGCCTCGCCTAACCCCGAATTCGGGAGGACTTGTTCATAACCATGGAGGTCACAACCACACTGGAGGAGGATCACATAACCACATGGTGCTAAGAATGGGAATGGGAATGGAGCTAACAACAATCAGAACCGCTCCAACCCATCCACTCCCGCCAAAAGAGACTTAAGTCAGGTTACCTGTTTTAAGTGCGGGAAGACAGGGCACTATGCCAATGATTGCCCCGAAGGAAGGAATGGAAACGGAAATGGAAGCACTGGGAATAAGCCCAATACATTCAACAAAGACAAGTGAACCACATTAACATGGAGGAGGTTGAAGAGCAGCCGGACGCGGTAATAGGTAAGTTTTTGGTTAAGTCATTTACCGCTCTTGTTCTTTTCGATACTGCTGCATCGCATTCATACATATCAAGGGGATTCATGGATAAGTTTAAACTACCAACCCAAACCCTTAGGACCCCTCTTTTAGTGAGTTCAACCGGAGCAGAATATATGGCTAGCCGATGGTGTGACCAGATACCCTTAACCATTGGCACACATGTGTTTCCGTCTGACCTAATTATCTTGGAGTCGCAAGGATTGGATGTGATATTGGGTATGGACTGGATGTCAAAGTATGGAGGAAGCATTGACTGTGCGAGTCAGTCGATTTATCTCACCACCCCGGAGGAAAAAAGGATTAAGTATGTGTCTAGGCATGTGCCTAAAAGGAGCCAAGTGAATGCCCTTACGGGAGTTGTTCAGGAGGAAGTGCCGGTAGTAAAGGATTACCCGGATGTTTTCCCAGAGGAGTTACCAGGCATGCCACCAGACAGAGATATTGAGTTTTTGATAGAGCTGTTACCAGGAACAGGACCAATATCCAAGAGACCCTATCAGATGCCCGCGAATGATCTGGAGGAAATTAAGAAACAGATCAGGGAGTTATTGGAGAAAGGATACATCCAAAGGAGTTCATCACCTTGGGGAGCCCCAGTACTTTTGGTTGAGAAGAAGGATAAATCCCTAAGGATGGTTGTTGATTATCGAGCCTTGAATGAAGTGAAGATAAAGAACAAGTACCCACTGCCAATGATCAACGGTCTGTTTGATCAGTTGCAAGGAGCTAAAGTGTTCTCAGAGATCGATTTACGATCAGGGTATCATCAGTTGAAGATATGAGAGAAGGACATACCAAAGACGGCGTTCACAACGCGATTTGGATTATACGAGTACACAGTCATGCCATTTGGACTGACTAACGTCCCTGCCTATTTCATGAGCATGATGAACAAGGTGTTCATGGAGTATTTGGACAAGTTTGTTGTGGTGTTTATTAATGATATCATGGTATACTCGAAGAACGAGGAGGAGCACAAAGAGCATTTGCGTTTAGTTCTCGAGAAGCTCAGGGAACACCAGTTGTATGCTAAGTTTAGCAAATGCAAGTTTTGGCTGAAGGAAGTCGGATTCCTTGGACATGTTATATCAGGAGAAGGTATAGCAGTAGAACCCAGCAAGGTTCAGTCAGTCACTGAATGGTTGGCACCCACCTCAGTTAGCGAGATCCGCAGTTCTCTTGGACTCGCAGGATACTACCAGAGATTCATTGAGAATTTTTCCAAGATTGCAAAACCAATGACCGAACTGTTGAAGAAGGATACCAAGTTTAAATGGACAGAAGATTGTGAAGCAAGTTTCCAGGAGTTGAAGAAACGTTTGACTACAGCCCCAGTGCTAGTACTGCCAGATATACATAAGGAGTTCCAAGTGTATTGCAACGCCTCTCGCTTAGGACTTGGATGTGTGCTTTTGCAGGATGGAAGA